GCGCGCGCGCGCATGAGAGAGAGAGAGAGAGAGAGAGAGAGAGAGAGAGAGAGAGAGAGAAAGAGAGAGAGAGAGAGAGAGAGAGAAGAGAGAGAGAGAAAGAGAGACTGAATGGCAAAATTAAATATGGGTCAAATTGCGGTCGCGATCTATTTTGCAGTTGGAATGATTTTTTAAAATTTATTGGCCCAGGCAAATGTGCCGAATCGGTGCGACGGTTAATTCACAGTATAAATGTTTTTTTTTAGATGTTCTATTATTATTTCTGGAAAGAACACTACCTCATTTATGGATTCTCAAAATTTTAGATTTTTGTGCATGTTCGTTCGAGCACAGAAAATCGCCAAAGTTGCCTCTTGCAAAACGCCTATTTTGTTGTGCCTGACCTCCCTATTTTGTAGTTCGGAGTTGAAGACCGAAGTACCAATTCGACGACGCTCGCGTAGACTGCTTTCAAAACAAGGTACGTCTTTCTACTCTCTCTCATTTCCGAATGGTCAGACTTCCGTAAGTAGCGTTTTGTTGAATGCAATGCACCAGCTCGCAATTACTGCACCGATCCAAAAAATTAAAAAATGAAATAAAATATATTAAAATAAAATAAAGTAAAAGATAATATTAACAAAAACTTATATATATATATTATATTTGTATATATATATATATATAATAACAAAATGCAACATGTTTAAACCATAGGTAGATAGGGAGAAAAGGACAACATATGAAGGATCATGACTGACTGTTTTATAGGAGTTGCACTCGCTCGCCCGTACTAGTCATACTGCCCTCATAGCACCTAGGCAACTCGACATTACAGCTTCGTGGCTCTATTTTTTATTCATTTTGCAATGTAGCATCCAACATAGTGAAGTGTCCGAAGTAAGTACCTCTCTTCTTCTCTCTCTCTCTCTTATACACACACACACATACACACACATGTATTTCCTAATGAATTCTCACTATCCTTATCAACCATAGGTAGGCTTTCTCAAATAAATAAAGGGCGGAAAAAAAGAATCATGCCGAACTCAACTTCATGTTGACTTCTGTAAAAAAACTGGAGAGGTGTAGAATAAGTGGGAGTTGTATGGCACAAATGTTTTTCAGTCGGGTACGTAATTCTACTTCACCTTCGTCCTCCTCCCTTCTCTCCCGCCTTCTTCTTCGTTCCTTCATTTCGTACTTGTCCATGTTCTCGTACTTCGCCATTTTTTTCCTCTCGTTCGTTGTTTTTACGTCGCCCGCTTAACGGGTTCTACGTACAACTATAGTCGATCGTGCAAATGCAGTGATAATTATGGTCAAGGATGAATGCAGCTGGCCTCAATTATTTCCAAATTTATCCAAAATGAAGCAAAGAAAATAACGAGAAAAAGAAACAAAAATAAAC